GAGCCTATTTATAGTGCAGGTGTACAATGCAAAATGGCACCCTGTTACTCAAGTGGCTTGTATCCAGAGGCACATCGACTCTAGTGATGAACAAGTTTAACTTCTTTTTATTTCTAAAAGCTTGCACAACTGAGAAGGAGCTGGATTCTGTGACTGTTTTCACTGCAGTTATACTCCCATGAAGTCCTCTCGAGTCAGACTAACTTGAGTGAGAGCAGTCACGCTGCAAAATAATGCTGCTGAGTTATATTAGCAGCTGATGAGCTGCACTAACTTGAGTAGTAGCCTATGCCCCCCGACAGTGAGTTGAAGCATCACCACACTTAAGGGTTTTTGTGTGTGGACAGGACTCCAGTTATAACTAGTGTTTTGCCCCTAACTCGTGTTAACTCAGCTGTAAAGACAAGCCCTAAGTACCAACCACAGAACTGTGTACTATGTTTCAATCATTCACACCGGTGTAAACTTGCTGAAAGCAATTTGGATGAACTGGTATAACTGAGGGGAGGATAATTTAGCCTGCAGAATGTTTATTGCTGATGGTGATGTTCCAGAAAGAAACAGCTCAGCTTGACTGTTTGAACCCAGTTTGATTTTTGCAAGGGACTCAAAAATCTCTCGTAAAATAAGCAAATGTGATGTGCAGTCACTGAAAGACAATAACATGAAATTCCAGAATACCACTTTTCGTCATCTTTTGGTGTAGAATGGTATTTTAAAAGATGCTGTTAGGATAAGAATATATTTAAAATTTTCTATAACACCCGAGATTTTTAAAGTGGAAAGAATTTTACAATCTAATATGCCTTGCCTCATTTCTTTATTGTTTTACTTTTTGCACTGCATTCATTCTGGGGAAAACAGACTAGTTACTTAATTTTTATTGTCAATCTGCCTGCCTCACGTTCTGCACTTGCACAAAGCACTTGTGTTTGTGTTGCAAATGCTGCAGGGGAAGCTTAAACCCATACAAAACATAATCCAAATTTTCACTGACATTGAAAAAGAAATTATGAAAACACTTCTGTTTAAATATCTAAACCTGTTTGCTGGCTTTGGGGGTTTTTTGGTTGGTTGGTTGGTTTATTTTACTCCAAATCTAAATTTTGGGCTTAATTTTAACAGGGTAAAAAAGCAAATCATAAAATAATACTTGACTATTCTTCCCAGTATTCCCTAGCATACTCAAACTGTAGACACATATGTGAGATAAATATCCACTGACTAGAGTAGTTCCATTGACATCAAAGGCAGGGCATGTACTGTAAATCACAGCTGAATTTAGCCCTTTGACTCAAATGCATGAATAATGTCAGCCGATGTTTTCATTTTTTTTTTTTTTACTTTTTTAAACACACACTTTTGTATCTATATCAATATACAGAGAGATTTATATATAAATATAATAAATTACATAAAAACTCCTCCTCCTTTGAATAAACTGTCATTTATTTTCCCTTAGTTTTTAGCACCACCCCTGATTTCCGCACCAGGAGGTGGCTACATTTGTTACCAACCCAGAGACTGAGTCCTCCTTGTTCAAACCAGACACTAGGCCCTCTGTGTAATTTCTTTTTCCCCTCCCGAATTGTCAGATGGAGACGAAAATTGCAATACCAGGTGGCCTCCGACCACTCACTTTCTAAAAATATCGCTGTAATAACACAGAGGTGCTAAATGCTGCCAAGTGGCAAAAGAAGCTCTCTGAACTGCGACTTGTTTCATATGCTTTTAGGTTAGGGCTGCCATCTCATTTTTAAAATCTAGACTGTACTTTCCCTCAGTTAGAAAGTTTAGATTTTCAGCTCTCCCAAATAACCTCCCCGGAGCGTATTGTGTCGTATGATGGCCTACTTCATGTGAGCTAATCTGGCATTTAAGGATGAGGATTGTGAAGGTTTCTCTTTAAATTCTACATTCTTTCTGAGGGCACTTGTGGTCTAATGGACCAAGATGGGGGCTGAGATTCAGGACTGCTGCGTTCCGTTCCTGATAGCCCAGGCTTTATGATCTTGAGCAAGTCACACAGCCAACGTTTTCAGATGTGGGAGCCTCAAATTAGATATTTAATCCGCATGTAAGCACTTAAATACGGGTGGTCTTATTTTCAGAGGTGGTGAGCACCACGTTCCCATTGGCATCAGTCCACTTTTATGTGAAGGTAACATTGTCAAAAGCACAAAAGGGTATGTCTACACAGCCAACTGGAGCAAGCTTCCCAATCCAGATTGACAGACCGGGGCCTAGCAAGGCTAGGGCTAGTGCTCTAAAAATAGCTGTGTAGGCCTGCTGTGAAGTTGGAGCTGGAGCTTGGGCTTTGAAGCCCATCTCCTCCCTAGAGGGCATCGACCCTGGCTGGGAGGTTCACTCCACCATGCTGTGTAGACCTGCCCAGGGTGACTCAGGAGGCTAAATAAACCCCAATGATTTTTCAGTGAGTTTGAGAGGGGAAGGGATAGCTCAGTGAGGGTTGTGAGTTCAATCCTTGAGGGGGCCATTTAGGGATCTGGGGCAAAAATTGGGGATTGGTCCTGCTTCGAGCAGGGGGTGGAACTAGATGACCTCCTGAGGTCCCTTCCAACCCGGATCTTCTATGATTCAAATCCTTTCAGTGCATTTGAAAAATCTAACCTAAGTACTTAAGTACAGATTTTTTTCAAACCAGCCCACTTCAAAAGTAATTCAAATTGACAGTGTTTGTTCCCTTAATAAATGTAAATCTGAAAGTGTCCCCTAACAATTCAAAAATTCACTGCTCCAGATCAGTCATTTCCATTTTCTTTTTGACCACTAGATGGCTTCCCAGTATAACAGATAAAGAAAGATGAACTTCATATGAATTAGTTTGTGGATTTAGTGTGGTAAAGCCTTTACTTTTACCTTTTTCATCACTGGTTTACACAAAATTTGCAATCATACAAATGTCATTTTAAAAAGCAGCTTTTTCCAAAGTCGTTGTATCAAAGACACCATTGATAAAAATAGCAGGGCGGGAAATGGCATTCTTTGTTTTTAGCTCCGCATGAATGAGACGGCAAGTATCAGGGGGTAGCCGTGTTAGTCTGTATTATCCACAAAAACGAGGAGTCCGGTGGCACCTTAAAGACGAACAGGTTTACTGGGGCATAAAAAACCCCACTAAGGGTTTTTTACCCACAAAAGCTTATGCCCAAATAAATCTGTTCGTCTTTAAGGTGCCACTGGACTGCTCGTTCATGAATGAGATGAGCATTCCTAACTGTAACCACAATTATTTGCTGTGTATATTTAGCGAATGTGCAAACAGACCCTCCTCAAGAGCATTTACACCATGGAACTGAATATAAAACAACCAAACACTTGCTTGACCAATGCAAAACAACCAAGTCAAGAGACCTGATTACAACACATTTGCCCCTTCACCCAGTTACAACATGGCTTTATCTTATTGACCTGACCTAAATGTGTTGTAACCTTGCCCTGTAACTGGGCTAAAGCCTAGGACAAGCGAAGGGGAAATGAATGGGCAGAGTTTCAAAGGAGCTCCACTCCCCTTTAAGCACCTAAATGAAGTGGCCAAAAGCGACTCCCTTTGAGGGAAGCAGTCTCCCTGGCTCTTTCAATGTTTGGCTTCTCCCAGTTCTCATTGACTCCTGTGATGTGAACATGGTCCACTAGGAACTGGATTAAATCTTCCACATTAATTCCACACAGGCCATGCAGCAACCACCAAATGGTAACAGATTTCAGTCCCTAACCAGCGTGTGCTGCCTGGATTCAGACCAGGAGCCAAAGTGTGAAAGTGTCTATCCCCTTACCAACTTCCTAGCTTTGCCAGGGGATCCTCTACTCTTTGAGCCCACATTAAGCTGAAACTCTTAGGAACAGATGAGCCCCCTGGATTGACCCTTAACCCCAATTTCTCTTGCTTTTGTTGGACTCCAGTAAGATCCCTGCGCGTTATCCGAAATTTATTAACGTGGAGGAGGCGGTTAGCTGGCTCTCTCTGTTACAATGCTCTTCAATTACAGCGGCAAGCCCGACGTGGCATGCAGCAAGTCTTGGCTTGCAGGCTTGCAACCCAGAGAGTGTCTGTTTCAGTGTGTCTGAGAGTTTATGTGCAGTGGCTCAGAGATAGCTCTGGGGGGAGGGGAGAGCAAAGCCAGCCACTCAGAAACAGTAGTAAAATCTCCCCAACACTTTAACTGTCAATCAGGCTCAATGGGGTATAAACCCTCCCCGGCGCTGCAGCTGTGATAGGCAGAGAGCGCAATGGGGAGAAATGAATAAGACCCAGAGCTGAAACAGTGCACAGCCTAATTCCCTGTCTGTGATCACAGATCCTCCACGTGAAAGAAACAGGAGCGAGGCAGTTAATCAGCTCTGCCTTTTGCAACAGGCTCAGAAGAGACTGCCTATAGATATTTATATAGATATTTAAGAAACCGACAGCCACCTTACACTGACTAGACCCTTTCTTAAAAAGAAAGTCCTGGCAAGCCTTAAGCAATTTCCTGAGTCTAAGAATAGTAATGGGCTGCCTGGAAGGCACTGCAAGCTGAAATTTGGAGACTTGGGTTGCTTCATTATTATTACTTTTTTTAAATAAAACCCTGCAATTTGGAAACTGGATTTTAATTTTGCACTTTTAAAGTGTAGGGGTTGGTGGGTTTTATTTTTTTTTCTTCCACCCCCCCTTCTCCCTCTCTCGCTCTTTTTAACTTAAACAAACTCTCTGTCCTCCAGTAGAAAAACATTTTACCTGCATGTGACAATCCCAAAGGGAGCTGAGCAGCGAGAGAGGGGAAGCAACTGTCTTCTGCACAATTTTACTCCGACCCCCCCCTTTTTTTTTCTGGTGGGGGGAAAGAAGGATTTTTCCCTTCCAAGGTTTTCTCTCCCCAGGGTTTTTGGAAGGGGGTTGAAGCCTGTTCCCCCGATTGGGGGGGGGGGAAGGAAGAGGGCGTGCTGCCCTTCAGACTCTCTTGCTTTGGTTTTGTGAAGGGCTGGAACAGTTTTTTGGGGGGGTGGGGGGGTCGGGGGTCTTCCTACCCTGCCCTGCCTGCATCAAGAGGATGGTTTGGAAATGGCTGGGCGCGTTGCTGCTTTTCCCGGTGCAGATGGTCTATTTGGTGGTAAAAGCGGCCGTGTGCATCCTGCTGCCGGCCAGGCTCCGGGACTTGTCCGGGGAGAGCGTGCTGATCACCGGAGGGGGCAGAGGCATCGGTCGCCACCTGGCCAGGGAGTTTGCTAAACGAGGAGCCAGAAAGGTGAGGACTGAGCTGGGGGGCAGCCCCCTCCCCCGGCCGCCACCTGCTGCTACCAGGTCTCCCTGCGGGGTGGCTGGGAGAAATAGACCCTCAAAGGCCCCCCTCCCGCCGGGGGGGGGGGGGGTGTGGGGCTCAGCAGCAGGGGGGAGGGCGGCTGCTTTGCAAACCCCCGTCATCCCAGCCTGCTGCCTTGGCTTGTGTGTCCTCAACGCCTGCCCCCCGCCCTGCATCTGCCCCGGCTACAGAGGGGTCTGTCTGGACCTGGGTGCGGGATTTGCGCGGGGCAGGAACGGGAGCTGCGTTTTCTGTTTACACGGTTGTCGCCTCCGCTGGGGCTCCGAGCGCAGGCGGAAGGGGTGGGCGTGGGGCCCGGTTCAGGGCTGGGCACGGGGGCACCCGCTGCCTGAGAGGCAGGGAATCAATGGGGCTGATCCCCCTCCCCTTGCAGCCGTTTAGACGGGATCCTGGTCCGACTCGTAAGCGCCTGGAAAGAGGGCAGAGCCCGGCTTTTGGGGGGAGGGGCAGCCCTAGGCGGCCAGGGTCAGTTCACCGTGGTGGCTTTCCACTGAAAGTCAGTCCTTAAATACCCCCCCCCCCCGTTGTGCTGTTTGTTCCCCAGAATCATTGGAGCTGGGGGAAGTTAAGGGGGGGGAGGAGGAAGAGGGTAAGAATCTAACCTATGATGTAGGGGTGTTGAGAGCCATTGAACCAAACTGTAAACCCTGCATCTGATGGAAACCAGTTCAAGCCAGGCGGTGCGGTAGCACCCCTAATTCCAGCACCTATGGTGGGATATGAAGCTGATTGTCTTTCTCCCCTTGAAAAGAGCTGGGGGTAAGTCACTGAGTTACCCAGAGCAATCACATAGGAACCTCCGTTTTGGCCTTGGTGGGACTTGGGAAAGCAAACGCCACAACATGGCTTAGATAAAAAGAACAGAGGGACTTGTGGCACCTTACAGACTAACAAATTTATTTGAGCATAAGCTTTCATGAGCTACAGCTCACTTAGAATCATAGAATACCAGGGCTGGAAGGGACCTCAGGAGGTCATCTAGTCCCACCCCCTGCTCAAAGAAGGACCAATCCCCAATTTTTGCCCCAGATCCCTAAATGGCCCCCTCAAGGATTGAACTCGCCACCCTGGGTTTAGCAGACCACTCTCAAACCACTGAGCTATCCCTCACCCAGATGCATACTGTAGGTCATGAAAGCTTATGCTCAAATAAATTTGTTGGTCACTAAGGTGCCACAAGTATGCCTTTTCTTTTTGCGGATACAGACTAACACGGCTGCTACTCTGAAACATGGCTTAGATAGGTTTACACTTCAGCTGCTGTGAAGGGGCTGGCGGGAATCCCCCACTGTCAACTCCTAGGAGACAATTGCATAGTGCATGGAGCTGGAGTAAATACCTGTTCAAAGTAAATCCTATATGCAACTTGCAGGGTGTATGTGAAACCGTTTGCCAAGATTCACCTGTCTACAGATTAGACATCGTGTGTGCCATTGAGATTTACCTGCATCTAGCTTTGGAGGGGTATGTGGCTTGAGCTATGCCTGGCGTACAGCTTTGGGTTTTGTATGTGTTTGAGTTTAAACCCTGCATTGAGATTTACAATTCCTTGGAGGCTGAACACACAAGTCATTGAACTTTGGACCTAGACAATCTGCTGACAGTGTACTTTCATCATCTATTAAAATACCATGATTCCTGACTTATTTATTTTGTCAGACTGGGGCTGCGCTATGAAAGTATCACCATTTCTGTAACTAGTTTTATTAGCTATTTAGCTGCAGCCCTGTTAGAACAATGGTAATAAGCCCCAATAAAATAAGTGACATGGTGTGGAGGGAGAGGGAGCTGTTTTCACCAGGGGTGTAAAGCTGAAAACAAAATAATTGTCATCTGTTTCACAATACAGTTCATTTGTATATTATGTCATATAGAGAATCATAAAATGTCTCAGAGAGAGGGGTAAACCTAACTAGAAGGTGATAAAGTATTGGAGAGTTTAGTACTTTCTGTGAAAATATGCCCATGTTATCATTTATGTGGTGGTACATGGACAGAGAGTATGTTCTGGCTTTGCTCTCCATGTCTTCTGTCATCTTTTCTGGCTATCATCTGTCTCAGGAACTGTCTTCACTGAGAACCTTAGGCAAATGTCACCATTTCTATCCCATTAAGTCTGATGGAGTTGCACTGAGCACGATTTGGCCCCTTTGTGTAACAGATGGTGGTCTGTATATAAAGCAGGAATTCTTGGAGTGGAACTTGACTTATAAAACCCAACGGTATTCCTCCTCAGTATTTGTTTAGGGAAAGTTTTCATAACTTCCACTATCTTGCCCTGAGATTTAACTGGTCTCCCTTTTACTTCAAAAGCTGACTTCCTCTGTGTGATGCAGTGTCTTCCTAAAGGAATCAACCCATCTCTAATGTAGCAGTCTCCTTAATTTTGTGTTTTAGTTGTAAACAACTGGAAAGAATTGCAAAAAAAAATTTTTTTTAAATTTAAATTCCATATTCTAGTATGTTGCCAAGAGACACACAGGAGTTAAATATTCTGTTGTCCTGCTGTTCCTCTCCCATTCGAGTTAATTACTTCAGATAATTATGTCTACTCTGGAACTACCTATTACAGTTGGTTTTCCACTGTTGATCCTGCTTGTCTGATAGCAAGTTTTACAAACTCAGGCTCTTATCCCTGGTGTGAAATTCTGAGGTCACAAACATTGCTGGGTGATGGGGAGAGGAAGCTGAGATTAAAAATTCGGTTCTATCGGTGGATGCACAGTACGCCTTGATAGCACGATGACAGCAGCCATCTCTGAGCCTGCGCACCCAGGCATAGTGGTGGAGTTTTGGAGGTAGGCGGCGATATACAACCGTGTATTTGAGATTAGAATCTTCCTACAGAGGGGTTAGTTGTTATTGCTAGTGTATGAAGTCACTCCTGATAATTAAATGGGGGTTGGCTTTCACCTGAGATCCTATCCCTCTTACCATGGCCTGCTGGTGGGTTTTTTTAAGCATATGCAAGATATGGCTAAACAGATTCTGTGAGACAGCAAGAGACTATCCCAAGTGCTGTATCTCACTGAGAATCAGTTTTAAAATATCTGAGATTTTGAAGATTCTTTAAACTCTAAAATACGGTGTAATTTTCAGTTAAGATTGCAAAGGTGTCAGCAAATAAGTGTGTGTGTGTGTGTGTCTGTCAGTGAATGCTGTGCTTGCGAAAAGAGCTGGATTGACAGCCCTGGAGACTGAAGTCTTCTATTGACAGGACAGAAGCATCATGGCCAGCGGTAGCATGCAAGTTCCTTTCCCCACGCTGTCCTGCCAACGTACTTCAAATCTGATCTGGATGTACCACCTCAAGGAGAGAGCGTTTCCTCTTCGAGGGGTACTTTGTTTTCCATCTTCATTCATTCATTCATTGGCCTTTTTGTTGAAATGGCCAACGGGGGGACAAGTTAAGTGCCAGTTGCAACATTGGTTTTAGTTGCGTGTTGGGAATACTTGTTAGCTAGGGTTTGGGACTGAGACCACCAGCAACCGTCAGAAAGTAAGAGATTTGGGTTATTACTAGACCCAGGATGAATTCGTGCCAGGGATATACCATAGAGATGAAAGGCTCTGTATCCCATTACTTGTGTCCTGAGACCTTTCAACTTCTCTGGAGAAAAGGTTTTCAAAACTTACATTTCAATAAGTAGCTGGGCAGGTGTAAAGGGATGTAGAATTGAAAGATGTTTAGCAGCACTTCTGGCAGAAGTGTACAAATCTAGTGTATATAAAGAGAGTTATTTGCAGAAGAAACTGGATGTGTTCTTGTCTTATCTCGGGTGAACAGCAACCCACTGCATTTGAACATACTCTTGTGAATTTTCTCCGGAAGGATTCAAATGCTCTGGTTCAAAATAAACCACTATCCCCCCCCAGTGATGTTTCAGAACTGCTGATTGCGAAGGTCAGCTCAGTCATATTTGCGGTTTATATTACTACCGTTCAACTACTGAAAAAGGAGAGGGGGACCTTTTTTTCTTTACTTTTGGCTGATTATTGGTTGATTAAAATCCCAAAGGCTTGATTGATTAAATTAAAATCCCAAAGAAAATCCCAAAGGCTTGGCATGATGTTGTCTGTAACTGTTACAATTTTTTACTCCAGGTTTATGTTAATTTGAGCATTAGCTCACAATGTGGCTTGCGGTCTTGTGCCATAATCTCACACATAGGTTGTGTAGTGGGACACACAGCTTGTCATCATGGGCCTTTAGCCAAAAGGAACAGCACAGATCTGCATTATTTAAAAACAAAAAAAAACCTTTATAAGTGATTTCAGTGTTGGGTCTGTGATGGTGTGTCTTTATGGGGCCGTACTATGAAAATACAGTTGCGATTGACCAGCACTCCTTTTCATAACTCTGTTTGTAAGAGACGTGTTATTGACTTAACGTTGGAAATTCTGGACCCTGGGCATCAGGAGTCCTGACCAAGAAAGTAGATTGAGTGAAATCAGTGAATGTATAAGGGGCTGAATGACTGAGTATGATTCATTCATTGATGGTTACATTTGGAGGGTACCGCTTGGATCATCTAGTCTAACTCATTGCATCCTGCAGGATTTTCTGTTATACTAGTGTGGTCAAAAATCTGTCAAACCCCCCCCCCCTTTTTTTTAGTATAATCCCCAATGATGGAGTCTTGGTTACCACATCAAGCCATCTGTTCCGTTGTCAAATCACCCTTTTAAGGCAGTTTTCTTGACGTCTCACTTCTCCGTTACTAATTTTTATTTACTTTATTGATAGTTTTGTTTATTTAGACTGAGCCATGACTAAACAAAGAGTTGTTCTGACCGGACACATCCTGTAATGTTTGTCGTTGCCAGAATGTAATAAAGCTAACAAAAAAGCCTGTATAATTACTGCATAGAGATCACCCTTTGCTCCGACCTCTGGACTGAATTTTGGGTTCCAAACATATCAA